TTTTTTTTTTTTTTTTTTTTTTTTTTTTTTTTTTTGGTGGTGGAAGGGGATGGGGGTGACTATACTATTATTGCTTATTGACTGAGTGATTGTCAAATAACTGTAACATTTAATTTAGCAATTTTGTCTATTTTGTCACTGAGTTCTTAGCAAATAAATCAACTACTCATACATGCATACAAGGGTACTCTTTAGGGAAATGTTCATTCAATATTGTATCTCTTTGTATCAAGTGATAATGGCACAACGTTTGATCCATTGGCAATAAGAACTCATTAATCACTCAGACAATCATATATACTACAATGTATCTACTGTTTAACTCAGCCACATTAAGAGAAAACTCCACCTTATTCACAGTTTAATCCCTTGAGTTCATAATTCAGTGAAACTTGCTGTTGAGAGATGTTCTCTTTTAATTACTGGATTCTTCAACATTTTGAATAGTTTTTGATTTAAGGAGGCTGCAGATATATAAATTGTCTTTCTTTCAGGGTCAAGTAGAGATTGAAGATCAGGTTGAAGGGTTAGAGTATGTTGCTAAAGCAACTGAAATCGTTGACTTGTCCAGAATAGCCATCCATGGCTGGTCCTATGGTAACTATGGCAATGCATCTAAGCTGTAATTAGTACCCCCTAATAGTAATGGTTTAATTCCTGTCAAGGAGACAAGTTTATCTCCCAGCTTGCTCTAACTTACTATTAACAAACTCTTAGTAAATGCGATGCAGATAGGCCAAACTGTGGAACATTGAGGTGTTTTATTTTGGCTCAAATCACCCATCTCCTCTCTAAGTTACATAATGCAGATTTGATTAGGAAATGATATTTTAATAAATCCCTTTAAAAGGATCACAGATCGAAGTAGAACCATTAAGAAAAATGGGATTCATAGTAATTTTTATTCATTTGGTGATCATTAAAATCATGAATTTTCCTAAGATGGACCTGTAGATATTTTTCTGTATATGGGAAATTCCTAGACAGGCAAGTTTAAATGGCTTCCTGTATTGTTTCAGTTCTGAACCAAATATTTTTGTTGTTATCCCATTTTTCCTTTAATTTTTATGATGTTACATGAATTGGAATTGTTTCATTTGTTTTCAACCATTCAGGAGGTTACTTGTCCTTGCTGGGCTTGTTACAGCGTCCAGATGTGTTTAAGGTAAGAGAAGTCAGAGTCCTTTGTGTCATTCATTGTCTGCCTCTGAAATAAAATTGTGATGACATGTATATTCAAAGTTACAATTTCTTGACATTTTGTGCCACAGGTTGCCATTGTTGGTGCCCCGGTGACCACATGGACAGCTTACGACACTGGTTACACAGAGAGATACATGAATACACCTGCAGAAAATCCCCTTGGATACAAAATGAGCTCTGTGCTAAATTATGCAAATCGATTCCCAGATGAGTAAGTGGTGATCTGTTTCTATTACTGTATTTGCCTTTTTCTCAGTTGTTTTCAATTGATAAAAATTTCATTTTAATTGTGTTTAACAACACTGGATGATTTTGTGAGTGATGGTAATTTCATAGTTGTCACCAAGGTTATGAACAGAATTTCCTTTATTCTTAAAAAGCATGAATTTCCTTTCATATGGGATATAGCACAGTGAACTTTTATCAAGTGAGCAACCATCCAATAAATGTTACAGCATTTCAGCTCTGCATTTACACTTCTGTTATGCAACTTTTCTCAAACCAACTGCTTAAATATGAGGCTGATTGTAAATTATGTTTTATAAATAATTATGTTTTTGTGGGTGGAATATGACATGTTTATGGCAAAGACTGTCTTATTACATGTACATGAAAGAGTTTATGATAATCATAATATTACAGTAACTGTAATTAAAATTCATTATTTGGTTAAATTAAAACAAAGTTACCTGTACTTATAGTCATATTTCAATCAACAGAGAGAACAGACTGCTTCTTGTACATGGCTTAATTGATGAAAATGTTCACTTTTACCATTCAAGCTTGCTTATAACTGAACTGATAAAAGCCTGTAAGCCGTATCAGCTTCTGGTAAGAATGCATTCCTAATTTTGCTAATATTTGAGATAGAACGTGTTCATGCTGGTCTAAAGTCCAGAGAGCCTCAGAATTCAACCATTTCTCTATCCCGACTAGTCTCCTTCATAGCTGGTGTTTGGTCTTGTTCCACGCACTTTAGACTGAGTGAATTGTGTGACAAGACCAAATCGTGTTTGGGAAGGAGACTATCTTCAGACCTGCTTGGAAAGTAATTGAATTTGTCTAAGTGAAAAGTCAAAATCATGGAAAATTATTCAATGCAATTTTTATGTGGACAACTAATCAAGAAATACCTTGATTGAATGGGTGGTTACACTTTATTTTTAGACCATTATTGTTCTTTGAAAGCATCACCAACATTAGTTTTGGGAAAAAATATTGCAAGTCATAATTTTAATGTGGGTCTAAAGACAGAGAGTACCAGACCATTATAAGGTACCTCTCTCGCTTGTTAGCAACCTTTTATGTAAAGCCATGTTGATCAGTCTAAACACACTGATTGCCTCTTTCTATTCATGTATGAGTTTGAGTGGAGAGGAAACTGATTTTTCAGACCTTGCCTTGTCGTTAATGTTCTTGACCAATATGGGCAGGTATTCTAAAACATCCTCATACAAGAACAGTTAACTACTAACTAAGATGCGAAGTGCAAAGTGATGAGTGATGTTAACCATGAATTATGTTAACTCATTGCAGATCTATCCAAATGAGAGGCATGGCATTCGTCAGTCAGTTTCATCAGAACATTATGAGACTATGCTGCTCTCCTTTTTACAGAAGAATCTGTAGACAGTGGGTTGTGTAATTATATACTTTGACCCACTCTTAAGCTGTGTGCTGGTCATTTGTCAGCTGGGAAATATCCAGAACTAAAATATCAAGAAAAAACAAAAGATAAAAGGAAAAAAGAAACGAAAAATAAGAAAAAAAACTACTAGGCCAGTAAAGCTACTTGAACTCTCTGACTTGCAGGAGTGCCCTGAGCATAAATTCTCCTCTCAATTTATAAACATTTCAAGCAGACAGGTAATGAGAATAATAATTAAACTATCATAAGAGGATTTGTGATCATAAATTACCAGGTTCTCAGGATCAGCCAATAAAGAAGTTTGTGATTGGTTGTCAGGTAGGAGAATTAAAGGAACAGGTAGTTTTAATTTCTAGTTAGAGGAAGTGTTAGCAACATTGACTCTATTAGATATTACTTTCAAAGTTTAGTCAGGATAGTAACATGCCCATATTAGCTGTTGTGTGGTCTGTTTAATACATGCTTTGCATTGGCTGGAACACAACAGCCATCAAATTGAGAATTACTATTAATGAAGAACATATTTGAAGCCTTGTTGCTTTCATGTTTGGGTTAAATATAAGTGTGGATTCTGACACAGTTTATCAGCTTTCAAATTGTTCTGTTACACTTTGGCTTGGCAGGAATCAATTTACAGTAACATTAATTTCTGGAGACAATGAACACTAGCAAGGGAACATAGCTTAGAAGTCTTATCAGGTTCTGCTGTTTAAATAGGCATCACATTTCCTATTTCAAATTCTAGTTGTTTCAAGCTAAAAGCATAAATTAATGTATTAAAACTATTCAAGGCATGTTACACAGTGCTGATTGGAAAGTCATCTCTTGTAGATTTACAAAATAAGCTAACACCCTAATTTATCAGCATATTTTGGTCTAGCTAAGAACTTCAGTCATTTTTAATTTAAAATTAATATAATTTAAACAGCATTACCAACCCCACCTACATGTATTGGTGTATCAGGATGAGCCAGAATCTGATAAATTATGTTTAAAACCGTCCTCCTGATTATTATGATTATGACTATAGGGAATGTTACTGGCAATTATATCTGTTGAAATTTATTTAAAATTAACAATATAGAGAAATGCCCTTGAGATCTTTAACCAACATATGTCCCTCCTAAGGAGGTAAGTTAGAAATTATTTATTAACAAACACAACCCTTTATCTTATACAACAAACAAAAGAAGTAGCTGAAGCTACCTGCAGTTATGATTTACTTTTTCTGAGCATCTGAGCCAAATTTTGAATCAGAGTAGTGGAGATGAGAGGACAAAAGACGATTGAGGGCGGGGATCAATGAAGAAAGTAGATTTTCATTCTCCTGGTTCATTTTATCTTTCAAGGTATGACCCTACTGGTTTGTTCTTTGTGTTCTGGTATTCTTGTCTTGCAAGTCCAAACAGTAGCTAATTGAGATATGACAGGAAAGATGAGCACATTTAGTGCTCACCCACAAAAAATAAATAAATAAAAAATACACACACCTGCCATGGAGATGGTATGTAACCACTATCTTTATCTGTTTTAGAATTTCCTAATTTCATGGTTTCTAGACACATTAGAAATCTACAAAATACAGATGAGCACTCTTCCAAATTTCACATCTTTGAAAGATGTACATGACAGTGATGTTTCTGACCAACTGCTCCATTAACAGTACAAACATTAGGAAAAAGAAACATTCAATGACTACTAAAACATGTTTTTTTACCAATTTTAAATGGTCCTTCAATCACAACTGTCTGAAAAAAATGTTTGGTACACCACAAGGGTTTCTCAGTATGTACCTTAAATATGCATGTGCACAGTAGGTAATGGGAGCCCAGGTAGAACAGTTGATTGTTAGGTGCCATCTCTTGGACAAGGTTAGGTATAGAAAGGAATCATTTTCAAATGGCAGTTGCTGGCAAAAAAAAAACATTGCCACTTTAATATTCTGAATTGATATTAATTCACTGGTTATGAGTTCATTCATATTTCATCTAATTACCCTTAGTGTAGCAAACGTCTAAACATCAATTGTAAGCAGAAGATATTTGATTTCCTGATCATACTTATGACCTCTGCACCTGATTGCTACTTTAACCCATTAACTCCCACTAAGTGATTAACATACAACTTCTCCCCTTAATATTGAGACATTTCCTACAAATAGGTGATGACGATACTCAAACTTATCGGGTAAAACTTGTTATTTTGATCTAACACCAAGTTTAATTTTGCAGCTAATTAACTAGGAAATGTGTAGCAGCTAGGGAGAAGAATTGACAATTAGATCTTAGGATTTCAAGAGTTAAATATGGATGTAGAAGGTGCTTTTAGGAGTGAAAGAACTATGGATTTAGTTTTTCATCTTATGTTATGGCTTAGTACATGCTTTTGTAACTTGTACATTTAAACACTATAAACTATTAAATAAAATTTTATTTTGCCATGGATTTTTTCAGTGTTATTGCTAAGTGATCTCAACTTCCCAAAGATTGTATAACTTGTTAGTTTGTCAAGTGTGAGTCGCACAAGCAAAAAGTTTTCAGTTTTTGTTTACTACTGGTACTTAATTTCTTGGCTTACTAACAATATTCCCTATTTGTCTCAAACAACTTACTTTCACTCAATTCTTCCCTTTTTTGTCTTACTTTCAAGTTATTCAACATATGGTATGTAAATAAAAAACAACTGACTGTTGTATCAGGCATTGCATTACTCTCATGCAAATCGGACATGCTAGGGAATTTGAGTTAAGTTGTGTCATGTGCTAGCTGTTTATGCATATTCTTGTTTCACCTTGAAAACTTGCTAAAATAATTCAAAGTTAGACTGCTGGAGAGGGCCTTGTTTTAAAAGAATTTTAACCTCTACTAAGGGACAAGACAAATGGACAAAAACACTGACCAATCAGTAGTTTGTAATATTTCCTTTCACATTGTATCTTTTTATTCCTTGTCAGCAGTGTCATGCAAAATTAATTAAACAAGTTACCCTCTACACTTTACTGAGAATCAAAAACATTTTATTTTTAAAAAAATCTACTTTCCATTTTCAGTCAAGTGTCAAAAATAATCCAGGATCATTTATATGAATTAATCTATTGCAGATTGGTCTACAAAACTCCATAGTCTTAACCAAAAGATGCATATTGTCAACTAAATACAATAATTAAAACATGCTACTCTCACTTTCCACGTTTTTAAGCTGTGTGCTTGTTTCAACTTCAAGTTGGTTGGTTTCTAGTGATATAAAATGCTTAGCTCTGAATTACTGTCATGATATTTATGGGATTGGTTTAACCTGAGTGACTAGCATCTATCCTCTCCTTACATTATCATTCCTAAATCACACATTAAAGTCACAGGAGTAACGTAAATGATCACCAAGTAAAGAAGCTCTTGATTGTTATACAAATTCTCCTCATCAACACCTTAGAAAATGTAAGGAGAACAGTAAGGAGAATATGTACTCTACTGTTAGGGTGTAAAAGGTTCAACACAATCAATCAAAAGGCCCACTGATCTCTATTGAATACTTGAATACCATCAAATTACCACTCATAAATCCTTGTATAGGCTACAAGCAGTCCCCCCTTTTCAGCAAAGTCTGATCCACAAGACAGGAAAATCAGTGAAAAAATTGTGAAAACCTTGTCAAATAGGAGGGACTGCTTGTAGTCTAATCTTTGTAGACTGTTATTCATTCTATGCCTGCTCACATATTTTTCTCATTGTACTCGTGACAAAGATCAAAATGTACTACCAGTCTTGCAGGTTTTAAGACTAGTATGGAGTTTTAAAGAAAAGTCCTCATGACAAATCAGGAAAAAACTTGTGGAACAGAAGGTGGTATTGCATAAATCTATGTCCCCGTGAGGAAATCTTTCTTTACAACATGAAACCTAAAAATTGTCTGAATTAGCCTGATGATCACAGCAGTAAAGTAAGTCCACAAGAGCCATTAGTTTCAAAGGCACTTTCTCCAAAAGACTCTTCTCTGGATAGAGAAGTCAGTACACCCATTGTTCCTCTATCAACACTTGGACAGCAAACCAGAATCAGGGGCTGCTGTCTTCACTAAAGCTTGAACCTCTCTAAAGTTGGGATGTTTGGCATCCCCCAACAGCATGAAGAGAGTACATTCACTAGTCGTTATAATAGCACCCATTTCACGGAGTCGCTAGAAGATTAAGCAACAGTGAAACTGTATCAACAAAATATTTTAGCCAAAGCCTGATTTTAAGTATTTCCCAAGTGAACTTGAGTAGTCACTGAATTGGCTAATTATTCAGGTGAGACAAGCACAGACTTGTACCAAGAAAACAAAACAATATGTAACGTTTGTATACCTGTACATGTGACATGCACAAAAGAAATAGGAATCATTGGAATTTTCAATTATTTAGGGAGTAGATGGTTAGTTGTATGGGGTAGATGGCTGACAAATTGAAAGCTCCTTCCCCTACAAAATATTCAGTTTTAAAATTTGGCTAGCTGTATGGAGTAGATGGCTGACAAATCGAAAGCTCCTTCCCCTACAAAATATTCAGTTTTGAAATTTGGAGGCACTGAAATACTATTTTTAATTATGTATTCTTTTGGAAGTATCATGATGCAAAGCAAAATGCAGGTTGGTTGGCTAGGCAACCACACACCAGGTAGAGATTGTAAGAGTGCCCAACTAGTAAGAAAATGTAAAAGCATACATGACTTGTATGTTTTAGTGAAACGTGAAAGTGAATTTCAAGCAAGTTGTCTGCCTTAGTCTGAAATTTCTTTTAATATTTATTGAAAGTTAACTGTTCACAACATACACACATTATTTTATGAAAAGAGCATGGTTCAGAAATCAAGGTTGCTGGTTTTTTAATCCAGTGGGCAGCCCTTAACCCTTTAACTCCCATAAGTGACCAAGACAGAATTCCTCCTTACAATATCAATACAACATAAAGCAGACAAGTGATGAGAATAAAGAAAAGTATCAGTTAGAAGATTATTGGTTGATCCAATACCAAATTCTCCAAAGTAACATCACAAGAACTGTATGGCAGACAGTAAGGAGAATTACTGATGAGATCTTGGGAGTTAAAAGGTTAATGAGAAGCCTGAATCACTATGCAATACTACTTACTGAACTGAGACTAAATTACTATCTGTCGAGACTTAAATATACAGGGTTTCATTTCCTGCACACAACCCCCCCCTTCCCAATAAATCTAATACTATAAAGCTTCCAAATGTACATATCTTGTATTACCTCAAGGGCAAACATTCTTTCAACCATAGTGCGTGATGAGACACCATCAGCCAGAACATGAACAGTATAATTCTTTTCAAGCAAATCCATAGTTGTCTGTAGTACACAGACTTGAGTCTGAAAATAAACATTCACTCTAGTCCTGTGGCTTCAACTCTCATATCAGAATTACTTTGAAAAGAATTGATTACTTTTAAATTGATTCATGATTTTCAGATCCAGCCAAATATTTTCACAGAAAAGTAAACTAGTTAGATTAAAAAATTACTTTATTTGCAATCAACCATCAAATCCCAGGATCACTAGCCCAGTGTGATAATTAGTTAAAACATTCAAAAGAATTACACCTTCCCTCTTCTTCTGAATATGCAGTGTTGTGCTCACAACAGTTTCACCTTCTTTAAAAAAGAAGGGGTATTCTAAACAACACATTTGGATACTCTACTATGCACATGTATCCTCTTGATAACTTTCAAAATCAACAACACTGTTTAACTCCAATCATAAAGAACACCCACAAAGTCCTGCATTACAATACAATGTCATGTAAAGTAAAGGGAGGAGTTGAGTATTTATCATAATCAATAGTACTTACCTCAATACCCATTAACACCACATTCTCAATATTTAGCTGTCTCAGCTGTTCTTCAACTTCAGGTATCACCATGGAAAACTTTGTCTTAGGAAATATGCGCTCTTTGAAAAAACTTGTATCAATTTCCTCTACTGTGTTGCCAAGTCCTTTAGGATACTGGAGAACAAATTCAAACAACTTTTGTCACCACACTGATATCCTATTGCCACATGATTTTATTTTAATTCTTAAATTTGTCTTCATGTACCTGTAATTCATCGAAGGACAACACATTGACAAATTTTGTGACATCAATTTCTCAATAAAAAAAAACACTGAAATGCAAATAAAAAATTATATTTTGATACCTGTTCTGTAGCAATGATGGGTATTTTCATAATGTTGGCTGCTGCTACCTGAAAATAACAAAAACAGTAAAACGTCTCTACTATGGCCATATTTCACAAGTATTTTTACCCACAAAATGCTCCTAATGAACTAAATGACTGTCCTTTAGCAGTTTACCAGGGTGTTGTGGCTAACAATAATTTTATAGCTGACCCACACAAACACAGACTAAAGGAACACATCTTTCCAGAACCATTGAACTCTCTAAATCAAAGACAACTACAGTTCATGAGCATACCCTCAACACTGCATTCCACCTACCTTGGAGGGAAGTAAATTTCAGTGATTGCAATGCCTATCACACACAAAAGGTGATTCATGTGACATTTTGTAAGGCAAAAAAAATCAGGGATAATGGAGTAAAAATTCTGGAAGCAAAATTGCCCATAATCAAGAAATGCAGTAACTGGAGAGTTGGATAGTAGCTGACCACTGAGGAAATATAATAAAATGTGCCAACCACAGATCATAAAAACCAGCCAATCATTGTGGAATAAGATGTATAATTAAAGAGGGGCATAATACATTAAACTAATTACCTGACAGAGAGGAGCAGAATACAGTTGAAAAATCACAATCCACATCGCAAGTGACAAAGTAATGAAACAACTGATAGCACTATATGATCTTATAGAATAGTGAGTATGAACAATGTCAACCCAGGCATTTTCACTCAGTGGGGTAGGTTGGGGACAGTCTGAAGTACTCAACTCAATAATTATGAAAGTTTGAGCCTAGATATCTAATGGTTGTTTACGATATGCAATGTACATTAACCAGTAAAGGTAAGGCTTTCTTGTGTCTACTTTCGAGGGGGGTGTGAGGGTCCTATCTCTGGACCTCTTCTTGTGAAAAGCTTATGGCAAGCTTATAAAATTAATTTCAAGCTCTTGCGTTTCAATAAAATTGGGCCACGGCGAACAGTAATGCATATACAAAAAAAGGTAGTTATCAAATTCTCCTTAAAGTGTATTTTTATGCTGATGATAAATTATTGTGAAACTTTAGCTTAATTACTTCTCCACCATTGCTTCTCCACGGGACTTACCATTCTTTGAGCAACTTTGATGATCTCAGGAAAGTACCTGATAGACGGTCGGAATTTTTCCTGGATATCACACAGGAGAAACGCCGTATTATTCACTGCAAGCCTTCCCAGCTTCGCCGCCATCTTGATCGACTTGACCTGACTAGTGCCAGTCTACTTCTAATTGACCACGGCCAGAGGCTTCGAATTACTTTTCGTAACGCACAATCAGACACCAAACCATGTTCATAATATGTATTTGCACCTACCTTTTCAAAATATTCTTATAAATAGTTCAGTTCTAGATTGTGTAGTTTTAATAACAACCATTTTATACAAAAAAATGATGAGTGCTCAAAACACCCGGCGTTTTTTATGAGGCGGGCTAAAGTTATTTACAGTCATGAGTCAATCAAAAGTTAACTTATGACCTTCTCGCCTCAAGATACCAATGAGTCTCCTCGCCGTAACACTGTTACTCAGTTCAAAATAAAATTTAAAAAGGAATATTTAAATTTAAGTAAGATCGAGTGTTTCCAATAGTGACAATGTTAGTGCAACATTAGATAAATGTATATTGTTGGCGAACGAACGCAGAATGTGATTCTAAACGTCCGACCTGTTAATTGTCTCATAGAGTTATATTTCCGGTTGTCAGAAGGTTTTGTTTTCACGCATTTGGTACACACTGTTCCAATGTTCCATCCAAGAAATTACAAATAAGTCGGTCAAAATTCTTGGAGTCTATCTCTGTTAGAAGGTCAAACAGCTATTAACTAATGTTCATAGATTCATGGGGCAACTGCGATGGCGTCCACTTAGTAATTCGCGATGACTTGTTCCATTCTCGATCAGCCGGGCCCAAAAATACTCAGCATAGATCCGTAAAAAATTTCAATGCCTTCAAGAATAGCAGATGCTTAAATGATTCTTTGTAAAGCAAGATACATCAGAGATGTATAACAACAAAGTAACTTTTAATCCCGCCACGTGTTTCTCCTATGTCCACTTGAACGTGACCCTCAGAATAGTGTTTTTGTTTATGAAAATTCTCTTCTCTTTCTTCTTCACTGTTATCGCTCGTGTAATGATAGAAGCAAAACACAAAAATTCCCAGCAAAACGAAGAATGCAACTGCCACGCACGGAGCAATATAAAGTACGGGACTGTCCATTTTGTTCTTCGAGTCCAACAACAACGTTCGGAGGTTAGATCAGCTGCTGTGGCTGTTTATTGTAACTTTGACACTCTGACCTTCTGTCGTCAACAAAGATCCGCCAAAAACGGCTGCGAAAACCACGAAAAAAGCTCACTTTCGGTCATGTTATTACATGTTATTAAAACAAGGAAGTTGAGAGGGAAGACGTTTTATTTATGTTTTGCGTAATATGAATGGTTGGACATCCGGATTGCCATCACGTAAGGATAATAAACTACTCCGCTCAATTGTTGTTTTCTTTCTTTTGTTCAGTTAAGGAATCGTGAACTTCATCTTTTTCCAGTTTAGAAATAAGTTTTGTAGTAAAGTTTTGTTTGCCGACTAATTTGTATCCAAGACGGAAAGCAAACCTGGCGGGTGTTTCCTTTTTCTTTCGTTCTTTCTTTTTAAATTATTTATACTTTCTCAATGTCTGCTGTTACTCTTTGGGTTAAAAAGGAAGGAACTCCAAGAAAATGATACTTAAAGAGAGACGAAGGAAGATATGGCGATGGCGCGAAATATTATGGATGATACAAATAAAAATTATATTGATATGCTTTTTTCGCCGAAGGAAATGCTAATTATTTTCCTAGAAGTTCTCTTTAAAGCGGATGATCGCAATTAGACTTAAATATTTGAATAAGTATATGACATATAAATGTATGAATATTTCGTTCTTCAGCTTTGAGAGAATCGATTTATCTCACTCAATATCAGAGATGACGATAGTATGCCTTGACGGCCAAAAGATTATGATGAGTACAGAAGGGGATGCTTAAATATATGAATAAGTATATGACATATAAATGCATGAATATTTCGTTCTTCAGCTTTGGGAGAATCGATTTATCTCACACGATATCAGAGACGACGACAGTATGCCTTGACGGCCAAGTGATCATGCTGAGTACGGAAGGGGATGTTTGAATAAGTGACACGAGAAGAAGCTTGAAAACTCTGACGTGCATTCGATTGTCGCTTTTTCTCCCGACAACCGGAAATGCATCTTCATTCGCAGGCTAATACATGTAGGCACTGGCATAAGGTTTCATTTTACTGGAAATAAAATAACCAGATTAGCGGAAACGATACATTCAATCAGCTTTTTGACTTGTTGTAGGCATTTTCAGAGATCTGGAAGCGTGCTAATTACCTTGCGCTACAAGACTTTTAATGTGACGAGATTTACTCTTGCTGCCTCTTTGCTACTTAAGAACTTTGAAGTATGTCGTAAAGAAAGCCCAATTTTCTTTTCAACCTTTGCAAGAGTAATTTTGTAAAAGTCAGGCAGGCGGAAAAAATGGTAGGCCGATGCCGAAGGAGTTTTTTCTTACTTTTCGAGCAAGGAATATAATCTTGGTGCCGTGGCATGCCATGGAAGCAAAACCATAAACGTGACTGTGAATTTTGGCACCGAAAACCATCAAGTGTTTTTCAGCCAAGATCCATATAAATTTCGAAAACATGTACAACCAATTAATGTCATAGCTGTAAGGTTTTTTTCCTTCACTTCAATCTAGGGAACGCCTGCAGTCTGGTAAAAGACACAATGAAGCTAAGCTATGTTATCGACCGAAAAAAAATTCTATAGTTTTTACATTTGTCAATTCGGTCAGCCCCATTTAGAGGATATTATTTCTGGCCGCGAGGACAGTCCCCTTGCATGTTCCACCGACATATTCTGATAAACTTTCAAGGGATCGTGGTTAGACGTTAAATTTTTAGTTAATTTTTTTCATGCGGTTTTGCAGTTGTTTTGTGAATTGCTATGTTTGGATCACCTTGAAAATTTAAAAATCTGAACATGGATGGCCATGGAATTTCTCTCATCAATCACACCTCCTTAGGATATAGTCCCAGTCCATCATGCTATATACTTAGGTTTAGCGCCAAACCTCCCGCAAGGAAAGGCTTGTCAGGTTTCCCTCCCAGAGATTAGAGCAAGTTAAAAAAAATTTGAAATAATGAAAAAAAACAATAGCCTATGTCATTCAGGACAAGAAGTGGTTAGGCGCCTTGTCAATATTTGAATTGAACTACACTAAATCCTATTATAGACGTCAACACTTAAAGAAGAAGAGGAACGCCCCTGCACGTGTTTTTACATAAGCCATTCACCGAAGATCTTGATTCAATTTTGAGTACGTGACCTGGGTCATTTCATCTCATGTTGTGGGTTGTAACGAAACTAGTCAAGTCTTGGCTTGAGTGTGTCTAACTTCCCTTGTATCAAATCACGCTTCACACGAAATCGTGACACAAAAAATGAAGCTGCTTGTTCTCAACATCGTATAGATAATTACTACATATCGAACTAAAATATACCTATGCCTCTGACAGAAATATAGCGTGACAAGCCTCTGAAAACCAATGGCTGCGAAATTTGAATCACGCGATCTTCAATTGTACGGCTACGGAAGCGATTTGTGGTGAGACTGCTTAAAACCTGCACATAAGAAAAAAAAAACGCCAGGAGTTTACAATGACGATTTAATTACATAAGAAATATTGAAATCTCTCATGCTCTGGATGTAAATTGAAATTTGTAACCAACAATAAAATGCAACATGACTACACGTGCAAGCCTGGTCACGTTGCAGTCCTGTCTAGAGTCCTGAAAAGCAAACAGACGTGCAGCTACGCTGGTGATGAATACAATACGTTTGTAATTTTATCTCTGTGATAAACTATTATTTACAGTCGGTTAGGAACACTTCTTTCACTCTATATTAAATCGTAGAGGAGATTTGTGAGGAAGATACTCAGTGATTCTCTTGAACATTTGGAAAATCACCGCAGGATTCTCCGTTAAAGTCACGGACTTTAGCAGCACATAAAAACAATGGGTGATATCCCAGACTATACCGTGCCCATCCTTGCAGGATTATTCATCGTCTTCACTGCTATTGCAGGATTCTGTCTTTACTGGTATCATTTGAAAACGCGAAAAATACAGGGAGAAAACAATGGAAAACACGGGCACGAGGGACAATCGAAATGCACTAAAGTTTCTTCGTTCAAGTTAAATAGTAATCCTTTCATATTTTATATGGGACCTGTTCCATTGGAGTTTTGTACAACATCGTGCACAGATGAAGGGATTGGAAGTTCAAGGAGTTTGCAGTCGCCGTGCCATTTTAGGCAAGAGCAGCCTTGTGTTAAGCCACCTGAGAAAAAACGCGTTTGTACAAGAACCAGTAGCGAAATATCACCCAAGTCATCGTGCCATATGCAGGTCATTGTGGAAGAAGAAATCGAGGAAGTGGACAAAGGAAAGATAAATGTCTAATTCAGACTACGAAAATACGTTTCGCATATTAGTTGCATGTCCAAGTTAACAGCGAGCAACTTCTAAATCAGTACGATTCTTAGAAAATTGATTCTCAATCACCCTAACAACACAACATCGTGACTACCCTGTGACAAGGGATTAAATTCAAGTTTTTCTTCGATCATACTAGATACTGACGAGTATTGCGGAAAGTGAGTTTACTGTTGCACTCAAGATAAATGTACTTTTACTTATGCTAGAATTTTCAGTAAATTTGTCATTCGCTGTGGCCCACGATTACTCATAAACGTTTGTTAATCCTCGTTTGCGAGGGGCTGTAAGATAGAGCTAATTAGCATATCATATACCACATCAACAACATCACCGACTCCTTGAATTGTGTGACTTTGCAGTTTGTTTTACCATCAATGTTTTGTTCTTTAGTACGATTCTCTGCTTATATGGTACCTTCTCAAACTATGTTCTTCACTGAGATTAAAACAGTTTTGATAGAGGTTTTTCCTCAAACGTTTTCCCTTCGTTATTTGAAACTTGCGCTTATACGCGGTTAGCTCAAAGATACGGAACTGTGCTTTAAAATGATTTAGCTGATCTGTTTACAAGGTTTTATTTTGAGATATAGTCTTCCATAAATAATTCTGTAAAAGAGTTTTAACATGTTAAATTGTCTACAAGAAACTGCAGATATTTTTAGCTCATTCGAATTGTCGTCGTGAACTTTGATAGAATCGTGCCCTATACTTGGCCTTGGCTTGTGAAAAATATCGATATATTGGCCTGAATTGGATAACCAGCTAAAAATATACCTCACAATTTGAAGGATGGCTAACTTTGGTGTACACAAATCTTATATGCTGAAGACTGAGAATGCAAGTTTCAAAATATAACAAAGTAAAGTACATCCTTTTGTACAAGGAGAATTTGTCTTTAGATAAAGCTTCGATCGATGTAATGAACTAAAACTCTTGTATGTAATGATATCCGAGCCCACAGACGTTTCCGGATCGGACACGCGCCAAGTTGGATTTTAAAAACATTTAATACTTGTAAGATTTTCTTCACTAATGCTTTTGTTTCTGTTTTGTTTTTTGTTTCAATATTCATTCTAATACTTCTTCTTTACTTATCTATTTATTTTTTATATTATGATAAGCAGCTTGCGTTCGTTTAGAGGCATAGAAACTTCCCCCGCTTATTTCCGTGTTTAGTGTTTTGACTAACAGCTGTAGGTCGTGAACTCAAAAAGTAATTGCACGCATAGTTCTGAATACAAACAAATCGAAGAAAAAAACCAACACTAGGCAATGCTAGCCTTGCATAAGTGTGTGCTGTGTTGTTGTCGTGCAAGGCCAGGTTCGGCACAGACACAATACGAAAGACATGTTTGTGACAAGATTTCTTCCATGAGTTTTAAACTGTTTGAAGGCACAAGCATCGAAAACTGAATTTCACATGGGAAACTGAAATGGTGCTTTAAGGCAGTTTTTGAAAAATCCTGTTTGTATCATTATTTTTCTGCCAGTTCCCCGATATTCTTTTACGCTTCATATTTACATACAGCAAACTCTCCATCCGATATTTCCTCTTCATTTACTTCTTGAATAACTTGGAGCTGGCAGTGAAAGTTGACCAATCTTGAATCATGGCTCGTGCTTCTAAAGGACAACGGTCTGTCATGGAACTTTTCTCCATCATCCTTCTCCATAAAGCCCTCTATTCCCTTCGCTTTTCTTTCCTCCACAACGGAGGATGAAATCGGCGGTGAACTTGAAAACTCGACGTTAACAAAAGCACAATTGCAAGGGTCGCTTGATGGAAGAGATGTAGTGAAGGGGTACAAATGATTGAAGAAGTTTGGTGAAAAGCTTCCGATATATTTCTCCTCTATGTCTGTAGATGGTGCTTTAGCTCTGTTTTCTTTCTTGTCAGTTCTAAAGTAGCAACAATAAATATAAATACCTGCCAAGGTGGCTAATAAAAAGAACAACGTCGTTATCAACGGAGCCAAGTATTCAATTTCCATAATGGTTGCCCAAGATTAGGTTAATTGTTTCCGATATCCGAAATCAGGCTTAAATCTTAGACTCAACAATCAATGAAATTGCATCCATTAGATCTTTGTGCAAACGATTCGCAAATACCATTCACAAACGCAAAGATCTAGGGCAACAGCTAACTGCGAAGTTTTTGATATTAGGCTGATATCGAGAAGATTTATGCGTCACGTTCAACCTGACCCCTGGGTCATGTCGGAGATTCACGTTTATGTAAGACAACTAAGGCATGATGTGACAATTGAGACGGTGCAATAGGTGTGATGCATGAACATTAGAAGGCGTTTGTACAAAACACAATTTATTGCAGCTACATCTCAAAGCAGTACAAATATCCAACATCCTGCCCCTTTTAAACTACTTTAAAAATTTTTGCAGACAAACGGAATTGACATCATGAAATCGTCAATTCAAGTCAGAGTTCCCTTACCTTAGCAACTGTACAAGTGTATCATTTAAGAGGGGCTTTGAATTCATAAGTGTGAAAACTGTTTGAAGACTGTACATGCCTACATGTTACCATAACGAGCGCCCAAGTACACGGGCAAATGCATCTAGTAATAAGAAATGGAAGAGCTTTAGAATGCGTCCAATTTTCAAACATATTTTGTGAGTTAACGACACTGACATGAGATAAAAGCGTTATCCTTTTAAAAAACAACGCTTCTATTCATTTGGTATTGATCTTTCAATTATTCCAATACAACGCCAAAACTACTTACAATGCAGTACCTAATTACATTCGAGTTATTCTAAACAGGTCGTAAGTTAGCTGTAGCTTTGATTGCAACACTTTGATGCACCTATACTTATAATTTCCTAAAAACAGTTAAGACCTTGCAACTATACCTAAACCTTGTAAAATTACAAAAAAGTTGAATTGCTATCGTAATGTTGTAAATTTTCTAAAATAAAAAAAGAGAAAGGAAGGAATAACGCAAAATAAGAGAAGCTTGTGAGATGAAGTACTTGTAGCCGGGTAAAGTACTCATCTGGGAATCACATGCAAAAATTCAGAAAACTGAGCGCTGTACGCTACTTTTTCAGTGAATTCACAGACTTGAGAACAGTAATGACATCATAACAAAGAGAATGGATGCGAGGAGTAAAAGATCATGGAAACCAGAGCTTAAATTAACTCCACCGTTGGTCATTGTTGGTAGTGCTGTAGTTGTAGGTGGCGCTGTAGTTGTAGGTGGCGCTGTAGTTGTAGGTGGCGCTGTAGTTGTAGGTGGCGCTGTAGTTGTAGGTGGCGCTGTAGTTGTAGGTGGCGCTGTTGTAGGCAGGATTGTCTCTGTGCAATCTGGCTCTGAATTTGAATAAATGAAACATGACAGAACGGGTGAAAGTGAATAATGAGAGAATTTCAGCAGATGAGAAGCTTGCAAATGATGAAGATACAACACATGTAACAACTGGGTTGGGAAAGAAACCTAACTAAACTATCAAAGTTATTTAGGTTAGAAATATTCAATGCCTATTATTCAGTTTTCTAAATAGGCGCGCAGCTCTCAGTTCAGCACGCGCTTAAATTTCTTTCCTCATAGAACCGCTCGCTTCGAGCTAGCTACCAGTCCTCGTGCTCGTTTGATCTTTGGAGGAGGAGGCCTTTATTGGCCTTTGAGTTTCACTCATCCACACCAAACGCACATTTGCTCGAAAGGCAATTTTTTTTTGGTAAAAATAGCTCTCATTACGTTCTCCATTCCCGACCATGGCTCCTTTCATTTTGACCAGGGCTCAGACCATTCATTTCAACTTCCTTGGCATAGTTGTCACTAGAACGTTTCTTTCTATTTCAGTTATTGAATACATTTAAACGAGGAGAAGGGGAAAAGAAAATTTGTATAAAACAAATAGAGATTATTCCTCTATCGCTGTTATAGAATAAATTGAAACGAGAAGGACTAGTAATTCATATGAAAACAAATAGAGATTATTCCTCTACTTCAATTAATAAATTGAAACGAGAGGGTGGCGAGGAAGGAAATTTATAGGAAAAAAATGGAAATCATTCCACGGAAAGTGCGCACGAACGATATTTATTCACGAGTTCCGATACATCCAATCCGAGTGAGTTGTTTAATGCATCGCAACTCGTGAATAAAAATCGTTCAAGCACTTTCCATGGTATGATGTTTTTATTTCATACATACTGAGATTTTTTCTCACTGACCGACACATTTCAAAGATTGGAGGCGAACGACCGTGGAAATACCTCGCTAGTCCGATCAGAAACACGAACGATAGTACTTCGCAGTGTTAATCTCCCTCTGTATGAAATAAATTACATTCTGTGGCCACAGAACGTACACTGAGGCTACAGTGGTGGGGGAACCAAGGCTTCGCTATCAAAAAAAAACCTTTTAAATGACGTCGGCCATCGCGTCAACAACCACGATCAGACCATATCTACAAAAGGCTCCTACGGGAATAATGAAAAGAAACCACTTTGGCGTACTTGTGGGATGCGGTTGAGGCTACAAAGGAATGATGTATGGTATCAACACTGCCATATTGCGCAAGTCTACCACACGTGACGTATAGAGGAGTGGAGCCCAACCATAAATAAATTAAACTATTCTTTTTCGTTGCCCTAACATCAATTGTTAAATTAATTGGAATAAAGCCTTTACCTGGACAAAGTTTACAGGATTTCTTACATTCGTTTTGTAAATAGGGTTCTGAACAACTTGCACTGCTCGTAATGGCGGCCTCACATTGTCTTGTTGGATTGTTATCGTAGCAAACTGTAAATAGAGTGTATTGTAAGTACAACACATGCTGTGTCCAGCTCATCTATTAATTTTTTTAAAACACGTACAAATACGTGATTTCATTTACATTTTAAACAAACAGCACGATTATTTACGCGCGGGCTTATGATTTATAAATGCATTATTAGAAAAGCGCGGTTTAAAAAATAAAAAAAAAGGTAAATAAAAGTTAAAATTGTTATTATTATTATTATTATTATTATTATTATTATTATTATTATCATAGTTATAATCATCATCATCACTATCAACGTTAACTGTGTTGACGAATCTGACAGAAACGTATTATGAAGAGTTTGTCTCCCTTTTATCAAAGTTGGACATTTTTCAATTTGCGCACGTGCTTTGCAGATTACAGATGTCATGCTCAAAGATTCACATGCAAAACACTGTCAGAGTCAATATATTGCGAAACTCTCCTTACAATTTACTTTCGACATAACTCAGCCGCAAGATAAGGAGGGGCTTAAGCTTCAAAAGATTTACGAAACCTTTCTCCCATTGCAGAGCCGCTCTGAGCGAGTGCTTGCATGGCTTATTGCTGTGTAACCAGTCACACTCAAACGGACTAATGAAGGCTGAACGATTGACCCAAAGTATTTCCAAGAAAATTAATAAGTTTCAGCCAGATTCTTCTACACCTCATGTCCTTAAAACTTGGCATGAACATTGTTGTATAAGAATGTATCAGGAAGAAGAGCAAGTAAATAAGTACGATCTCCTCAAAAACGCTATCTATTGAGATGCAACAAGGCTCGTAAGAGACATACCTTCCAAGCTTATAGTGATGTTAGTTCCCTCTGCAACGCAAGTTATTTTCCCACCATCGTTTTTGGTGACGTCGACGATCGATAAAGTTGAAAAAAATGAATACTTTCTAGCGACGAATCTTGGGTCTGTGTAAATAACAGTAGAGATAAAAATAGTAACACCGATACTAACAAATCTTACCAATAACAAATGTTAACATTAAATTCAATACTGATACAAATTGCAACATTTGGCCAATTTTTCAATGAGCGTCCAAAGTAATTCGGGATTGCTCCTCTTCTCTCTGTGATTAGACCAGAATATTTGCGCTATTTCTTCAACCGATCAGATTCAGCGCTAAAGCCAATCGCGACTTGGTGAGCTTAAGGATGTTACTTTGTTTCTTGGAGTTCTTATTGGTTACTTGGGAAGGAGAGACGTCATCACTGACAGCATTTTGCTTCTCTATTATATTAAAAAAAGAGATTTCATGTTGCCTTGGGTTTAAGTTTAAAAATGCTTTTTACCACTGTATTATTATCCTACTAATAAAATAAACTACTAACAAAAATCACAACAATAATTAACAACTAATAATAACCATATAATATTCATTAAATCGTAATTACCATATAAAAGTACAGTGGGTAAAGGAAAGTAATAGGGGGAAACTGAATTCCCGCATAAAAACTGCTCTCCAAGGCTCATATAAATAACTGTACGTTGTATAAGAAAGAAGAAACTGGACAACAACTAAACAATAAACAAAAAGTAAAATCTGAATAAATCTCATTTCGAGATAACAAAATAAAACTACGTACAAAGATAATTCAGCAATCGAGTTCTAAAGGAATTCAACTGGAAGCTGACATAACAAATTTAGTTAAAGAGTTCCAGTCATCAACGAAACGGTTAAAAAATGAAAACTTAAAATAGTCCGTCCTGGCTGCTCTAGGCCTTAATTTAAAGTCATGGTTTGTTCAGTTATATATCACAGAAGACATCAAAATGTGGTAAGGACATCCGTGACACACTCGGTTGCGCCTCGTGTTCAACTTTTTTGTTCTTATCACATTTTTAAATCATTTGTGATCTATTACAGAACAGGATAATGGCAACTCCCTTCTCTTACATTCAGGTTCAGTTCAGTCCGGTCCAGAGTTATATAGAGCAGATCAGTCTCTTCCAGCTCAGTCAAGTTCAGTTCAGTCGAGTTTACTCCTGTCCAGAATAGTCGAATCCAATCCAAGCTGGTCCATTCTAGCAAGTCTAATTTAGTTATGTCCAGTCTAATCCAGCTGAGTTCAGTCCAGTCCAGACTACGCTAGCCCAGTCCAGTCCAAACAGGGTTCAGACTAGGCTTGCCAAGTCCAATCAACCCTGATCCAGTCCAGTAAGTTAGTCCAGTCAATCGTTTGCAGCGAGTTTTTAGGGGAGGACAAACAACGCCGAATCAAGTGCAAGACCGTCCCAAAGGTAGACCTTGGTAGAGGGCATTATTATACAAACTTAACATGGCTAAAACATATATTACACCACGCAACCAAGAGAGAAGAAAAACAATCCGGTATAAGAAGGCATAATAAAAGAGAAAGCAAATAATTGTTGATTCGTCTGACCTTTAATTTCCTGTGAATTTTCTGTTTTTATCCACCTAACGTCCCCAGACTGATTGCAGATTAGAGTTGCGTTACATCCGGTTTGGGTGTGAACCGTAACAAGGAAGCCTTCAAAAGAAGAGTATTAAATTTATCATTACAAGAACTAGTGAAGGTGTATTCAACTGTTTTATTTGATAGGATAAAAATCATCAGTCGGCTGACTAATGTCAGATTCGTTTTGCGGCTCCAACTCTAATGGTGTTGCCAAGGTGTTTCTTTCCCATTTACTGAAGAACATCTTTAGGAAGCAATACTTTCGTTTATTTATTGGATCAAACTCTAATTATTCAAGTTAAAAACGACTGGAAAGGAGTCAAATCAGATCACAACTGCTGTAAGTGGTTTTGAAATCTCGAGGAAACTCGTCCACGTTACGTACTTCACGTCATCTTGAATTGATGATATATAATGTATTTTTGTTAGGAGGTGATTTATCCTAATCAAAGTCCACTTATGTTTTTTAAAGTACCATATTTCAACTTCATCGCTTCTGTAGGAGCTAATTACTGATTGTTAAGGTGACAATGAGTGAAAGAAGTAAAATATCAGTTTGCTATAAGCATCGGAAGCCGACTAAAAGCCCATCTAGTCTGACGGGTGATTATGAGTTGTTGCGAAATGCACTTTCGTAACGGAGTCCCTTTATTTGATCACCGTTTTAAAAATTATAAAACTCGCCGAAACATCGGACAAAGTGCGTAAAAAAAAACATTCCTGTAACTAAACTGTTTTTACTTTCCAGAGGACTTTATGGTTCACCTGGCAGGGTGGTGGGAATGCCTTAAAAAAGGCATTCAAAACAATATGGACATTTGCATAGCATTGGACAAAAATTCTAGTTTTAAGTCAGGTATCAGTCGCTTGATTTTAAAGAGGTTACGGAGGCCGGTTTTCTTGTGTCTCCCTAATTCATTGCTTTTCGAAGAAAGGGAAAATTTGTCAAATTAAAAATATCAATATATTAACACTGTACGAGTTACGTGTCCGCTTTCAAATTGTCGCGACAGAACATTGATGTGACGAAGAAGGTACACAGTGATTCAAATATCATTATAAAGCGAACTCAGTACTATTCGTCTATCCCGAAAATCGTTTCTTGTGTAGAGAAATGTTCTTATACCGTTCGTCTAGCACGCTGTTATCATGTGCTTTAATGCACAATACTTTAATATCACTTGAAACATAGCTTTTTCCATCACTGATCGCTGTTGTCAGAATGAAGATCGATTCAAGAGCAAACTACACATAAAGCTTAATCCAATTACAACAAGTGAACTGGAAATATTTACTTACCTATCCCACTTCTTAAAATAACAGCCACGATAGCGAAGAATATATTTGCTCTTGTCATGTTGAGACAACTGTCATGAAGCGCAATGTCTAGCGAATCCTTTGAGTTAATAACTTGTCAAGATGATTTCAGTTTGGTAAATACGCGGTAAAATTTTCATTGATCGACTCAAGAGCAAACTACATATAAAGCTTAGTCCAATTACAACAAGTAAACTAGAAATATTTACTTACCAATCCCACTTTTTAATAAAAAGCAAATGACGGCCATGATAGCGAAGAATATATTTGCTCTTGACATGTTGAGACAATTGGTGACGAAGCGCGATGTCTGGCGAATCCTTTGAGTTAATAACTTGTCAGGATGATTTCAGTTTGATAAATACGCGGTATAATTTTCAGCAGTGATCTCAACTAAAACTTCTTCGCTCAACAGGGAATAAATTTTTTAACAATGAATCATGGATGACATCTTTTGTTAGTTAGCTATTACGTAAATCATACTAGTATCACCTTTGCTCTTATTAAAAAGTCATGAGAGCGAATCCGATGGACGCATATCTTAAAATATTAGTAAGTAACCTGCACTTTGCGGTTTAGGCTGACCCGAAGTTTTCATCTATATTCAGTACAGCCTAGGTAGAAAGAAAATTATTTGCCAATCATGAATTAGGATTGTCGTCGGCAGTAGATAAAAATCACGCAATCACGGCAAGTTTCTGCGGAAAGCGTACTCCGACATCCGTCAGAAGGAAGTCATCTCCGGTAGATTTCCGATTACGAAATCCGAGCTCGCCCGATGTTGTCTTCGTGATGAAGGCCCTATTTAGCATATCAGACCCGCAAAACAGAGTAGAAACGAACACGTGCTTCGTTTTCGCTCATGACTTCGTATTAGTGTCAAGATATTTGCATTTTTTCCCGTTGCTTACCTATATTACAAACTCCAAAAAATTTCTGCGATGCCTCCTTTTCACGGATGGCCGATTACAACTACAACATAGTGACACCTCCACGAAATCTGTCAAAAGGAGGATGTTAAAACACCAGAGGTAATCTCGGGTAGATTTCTGATGACGAAATCCGAGCTCGCCCGATGTTGTCATGAAGGCCCTATATCGCATTTAAGAGCCGCAAAATAGAGTAGAAAGGAACACTTACTTCGTTTTCGCTCATGACTCTGTATTAGCGTTAAGATATTTGCATTTTTTGTCCGTTGCTAACCTATATGACAGATTCCACAAAATACATTTGACGCCTCTTTTTCACGGATGGCAGATCACAACTACAACGTAATGACATCTTCACGAAATCTGTCAAAAGGAGGATTTTAAAAACACCGGAAATCTTCTGGATTTCTGATGAAATAAATTTAACGCAGTTACGATTAGAGTTTAAGCGATATATTGTTATTTCTAATATGGTAATTGATTAAAAAATTTGTACATTACCTCGATTGGACGGAGATTAAGTTTGAATAAAATGTAGCACGCGATATTACTTTTGTCGATAAGGATAATCCGTGACTTGTCTCACCTATTACATTTTCTCTATCTGCGTTATGCCATGATCATCATTAAAAATTCTACGATAATATTTTTTACAATATTTAGATGAGGATTTTCAATTC